GAGAAGCCCTACCAGTGCGCCGAGTGCGGCCAGAGCTTTAGCCAAACCTCCAACCTCCCCCTGCACAGCCGGAGCCACCGGGGCGAGAAGCACTGCCGGCTCGGGGAGTGCGGGAAGAGCTTCGGCATGAGCTCCACCCTGATCCGGCACCAGCGGATCCACACCGGCGAGAAGCCCTACCAGTGCGCCGAGTGCGGGAACAGCCTCGTCCGCAGCTCCCACCTCATCCAGCACCGCCGCACCCACACCGGCGAGAAGCCCTACCGCTGCTCCGAGTGCGGCAAGGCCTTCAGCCAGAGCTCCAACCTCATCACCCACGAGCGCATCCACATGGAGGAGCGGCCCCACGTGTGCCACGAATGCGGCCAGCGCTTCGCCGAGGAGGAGGCCCTGCGGCGGCACCAGGAGGAAGGGCATAGCGGCGGGGCGGGAGGCAGGGGGCTCGGGGAGAGCCGGGAGACTTGCATCTGCAACGATTGTGGGAAAAGTTTTGGAGATAGCTCAGTGTTGGCCAAGCACCAGGAGATCCATTCATCTTGCATCTGCGATGATTGCGGGGAAAGCTTTGGCGATAGCTCCGCGCTGGCCAAGCACCAGATAACCCATGTGTCTTGCATCTGTAACGACTGCGGGGAAAGTTTTGGAGATAGCTCAGCGTTGGCCAAGCACCAGGAGATCCATTCATCTTGCATCTGCGATGATTGTGGGGAAAGCTTTGGAGATAGCGCCGCGCTGGCCAAGCACCAGATAACCCATGTGTCTTGCATCTGTAACGACTGCGGGGAAAGTTTTGGAGATAGCTCCGCGTTGGCCAAGCATCAGGAGATCCATTCATCTTCCATCTGCGATGATTGCGGGGAAAGCTTTGGAGATAGCTCCGCGCTGGCCAAGCACCAGGAGATCCATGCCCCGTGCATCTGCCCGGAATGCGGGCAGAGCTGTAAGGACAGCGCGGCCCTGACCCGGCACCAGATCACTCACATGCGTGAAAAGCTTTACAAGTGCCCTGACTGTGGGCAAAGCTTTGGCGACATCTCTGCCCTCACCCAGCACCAGAGGAACCACATCAGGGAAAAGCTGAGGTGCCCCGACTGCGGGCAGGGGCTCGGGGCGAGCTCGGCGCCAGGGGCCCACCAGAGAGGCTGCACCCCAGCCAAGCCCTTCCACGAGTGCTCGGCGGCCGGTGCCCACGAAAGAAGCCACGCCGAGGGGGAGCCCGTCCGTGACAGCTCAGAGCTTGGTGTCCACGAAAAAGGCCACCCCAGGGCGGAACCGTCCCACGCAGCTCCGGGCATCCACCAAAGAGGCCGGCCCGCGGCAGATCCCTCCCCCGCCGGCTCAGCCACTGGCGGCCGCCCCGGCTCGGGTGAAATGGCCAGCCTCATCCGGCGCCCGGCCACCGAACCCTACAAGTGCCACGACTGCGGCCAGAGCTTTGCCGAGGGCTTGGGTCTCTCCCGCCACCTGGCCTCCCACCCCAAGCCCTTCCGGTGCCCGGAGTGTGGGCGCGGCTTCCCAGACGCGGCAGCCCTGGCCCAGCACCGAGAGGTCCACGCTGGAGGGGAGCCGGCCGGGCCTGGGGAGAAAAGCCGCAAGAGCTGTGCCGAGATCTCCGCCATCCTCTTGCGCCAGGGGAACCACGTGGCCGGGCGTGGCCCACGGAGGCACGCGGCAGACAACTCCCTTCCTCCCGGCGGCTCGGCCCCGGCTCGGCCCCGCCTCCAGCCATCAGGCCGCGGCCCGGCCACGGCCGCCCGCCGCGATGGGGGGATGTCTCTGGCGCGCCCGGAATGTGGCAAAGGCTCCCAGGGGGGCTCTGTGCTCCTCCAACACCTCCAGAACCACGTGGGGGACAGGGTGTGAGGCCCCCAAGGGCACCTGGCCAGTTCATAGCTCAAGACTGGGCTGGGGGTTGGGGGAGGGAAGGGGGCCTGCTGGAACCTGGGTCGTGGGATGGGCGTGAAGGTTTGAGGGCCCTGGGGCAGGAGGCTGGGGGCGAGGAAGGGGAGGTTGGTGGATGTGGGGGTGGCTGGTCTGGGGATCTGGTTTGGCAATGGGAGAGGTTGCCCTGGGATCTAGGGGATCTGGTTTTGTGGGGATTGTGCCGGAATCTGGGGGAGCCTGGGTTTGCAAGGTGTTCTGCTGGGATTGGGGGGGCTGGTTTTGTGGAGGATCGTGCTGGGATCTGGGGGGCTGATTTTGCAGGGGATCGTGCTGGGA